CCTTCCCTGCTGGGGTCTCCTGGAAGTCGAGGAAATGGGGGGGGAGGGGGGACAGCGGGGCAGCCCAGCTTCAGTCTGGAGCTGCCCCTACCCGGCCTAGGGGGAGGGTGACCTTGGGAGGGGCCACACCCCAAGAGGGGTCCCAGGGGCAGCCTCCAGGAATGAAGAGGAGGAGATGCCCCAGGGCTGGGGGTGGGGGGATTAGAGGGAGGCCGTTGTGTTGTTGGGGGGCGGTGTTGAGGGTCATCGGTTGCTGCCCCCAGTGGAACCTGGCCTGCCCTCCAGCCTGGAGCCTCAGCCCCTCCCCCGTGCCTCTCCTCCCCCTCCAGGTCCCGCTAGAGCGACATGATGGTGGAATCCGCCTCGGAGACAATCAGGTCGGCTCCGTCTGGGCAGAACGGCGTGGGCAGCCTCTCCGGGCAGGCCGATGGCGGTGGCGGTGGCGGGGCCGGGGCTGCGGGCACAGCCGGAGGCGGCGCGGGCAGGGACGCGGCCACAGGCTCAGACAGCAATGGGGAGATGAGCCCTGCGGAGCTTCTGCACTTCCAGCAGCAACAGGTAGGAGCGGGCGCCCCTCCTTGTGGACTGGGGAGGGGGAGGGGAGCCGGCCAGGTCTCTTCCCACTGCATCCCAGCGACCTGGTGCCACTGCTCCCCGCCAAACAGCCTTGCTTTAATGTTCTGGAGAAAGTCTAGCCTGCAGGGACTCTCTCTGCACCCTCCCGTCCTGGTGGCCAACATAAGGCTGGGGAGAGAGCAGTGTTCCCAAGAGAGAGAAATGGGACTCAGGGGGCCCTGAGATCATGGAGCCTAGAACAGTCTCAGAAATGCCCAGATGCCTGGGCAGCACGCTTAAGGGTGTGTGTGCATCTTGGGAGGTGGACACGGACTCTCCGATGGCACGTTGGCTAAGTTAAGGGGGTTGGGGAGGGAGACCCCCTTAGGTGTGTGCTCATTGGGGGAGGGGTCTGCGCACACAGGGTGTCTTCACTTTATTTGTATTATGAAACATTCACCACCTGCAGCTCTGCCTGGGCCCCTGATCCAAGCTGTGAAGAGATTAAACTTCCAGGCACCAGCAGCCAGGGCAGCTGGGAAAAGGCAGGCTGCCGTTTCTGGGCTTGAACTGGGAACCCTTTTCCACACCCCCCTCCCCTCCTACCCCTCTGTCGTTCCTACTCTAAACTGCAGAGTTCAGGAGTTCAAGACCAGACTCTCCAAGGATTGAGAGGCCCTAGGGTGGGGACCCTGGTTGGGTGATGACAGAGCAGAGGCCCCAGGTCCTGGCCCCACCCGGGGGAAAAGGGGAGAATCACGCTTGACAAGTTCAGGAGAACCGGCCCAGCCAGCCCTGGCCTTGGGATTCTCCTTCTCTTAGTTGACTCTGCTCCTTGAGTCACTACTGGTGGCACTGCCCCTTGTGGGCTCTGCTGGGAATGCGGAAAAGTTGGATCCTGCATGCACCTCTGGGCCCATGCTCCAACCTCTGCCTCTTGAGTGCACAGATATGTGTACCCACATTGACCTCATGCTCTCTCTCAGCTTCACCCTGGGGCTCCTCCCCCGACTCCATAGCCCCTAAGGGGCCCTTTCCCACCACACTCCTTGGAGCCAGAGGTCAGACTGGAAGCAGCACTGTCAGATGCCCAGCACCCTGCACTGAGCTAGTCAGCCAGCACTAACACAGGAATCGAACAAACCCAGGTTAAGTGCCAGCCTGCCCCTTACCAGCAGTGTGACCTTGGTCAAGTCCTGGGCCTCCCTGAGCCTTGGCCTCCTTGGCAACTAAAGTATGGGGGTTGTTAGGAGGGGATGCAAGTGGGGTGTGAAATGCCTGCACACACTGACTGGTTCGTGAGGATGTGAACAGAATCGAGAACTTTAAAAATCACTTCCTCTCGCAAACAGTGGAGACTTGAGCGGAGCGGGCCTGTCTCCTTTCCCCAGGGAGATGGTCCCTGGGAGTTTGCTGGCATCTCGCAAGCCTTCCTAAGCAGGTTCTCCAGGGAAGAGACCCGCAGAGTCTGTGCCATTTACTGGGGACAGAAGGTCAAAGGGCGAAATCCTACCCTTTATCAAAATAATAACAAAACACACCCCACAAGAAATCTCCAAGGCCACCCATTGGGCATGGCCAACTCTTTCCCTCCCACACCTTGATGCAGACAGAGCTAAAAAATTTGCAGGAAAATTTTGAATGTGGTTGGGGGGTGGGGCGGCCAGGGGGAATACTGAAACTAGAAAGTTTCTTGTAAAAATTTGTATAAAGACAAGAGTGGACACAGCTATCTGGATAAGTGGGGAGATGTGTGGGGTGGGAAGAGACAGAACTGTCTGTCCCGATCGGGTTTCTGCATCACACACAAGCCGTGTTTTACCGTCTGTATTCCACGTTCCAGTTACTCCTGTTTGTTTTGGGGAATATCCCAAAGTCCTGGAAAATCCTATATCTGTTTCACAAATAAACTGGGGTGGAGATTTGCAGGCAGGCGGAGGGCTGTTTTATCCATTTGGGCTCACTATGGGCGGACTGCCCGGGGCCAAGGAAAATATTTGAGACTTTAAAAAGGTTTTGTTGGCTCCAGACTGTGAAAAGAACCCTGCAAAATTAAAATTACGAAATTTTCGATTAAAATGAAACGGAACGTGGGCCATCCTTCCACCCCCAAGGCTTTTGGGGGAGCTTTAGGGGTAACACTTTCTGGAACCCCCAACAGTTGTTCCTGACTATTTATGGGGTAGACCTACTATTGGAAAGAGGGCCTGGCCCAGCGGGGTCCTCCTCCCTCTCAACCCCAGCCTTCTCTGAGGAGGAACAAGCAGATACCTTGCGTCTGCTGGTGCTCTGGTCGTTCACGAGCGCTGTGTCATTTGGCCACCTCCCCATCCCTGGGCGGTAGATGTTGTTATTCCCATCTTGCAGATGAGAGGGCAGCAGAGGTGGCACTGACTTGTCCAGGCGACATGGGAAAGGCTACGGCTAGACCTCACACCTCCCAGTTCCTAGTTCAGGGCTCAGCCCAGCCTCCTTGCCGCTCCTCCTGCACTCACACGGTCCCCTGTGGGAAATGGAGGAACACAGTAGGTGCTAAATAGACGTCTGTTGGAGAGAGAACGAGAGCACCCCCACTCCCAACCCAAAAGTGCTCTTAAAACAGAAGCAGCTCTGCCTGCTGGCCCTAAGGAGCCCCTCTAGAGGGCGGAGGTTGCCGGTGGGTCGGCACCGGTCTGTCCTCCTTGTGCGTCTTTGGGTCTCTGAGTCCCTCTCCCTCTGTCCATCTGTCTGTTGGTCCCTGTCCCTCTGCTCTGGGTAAACAAGCCCTGGAAATGCAATCTTGGCCTTTGGGAGTAATGAGTTGACAAAGGAGTGGGAGAGATAAACAGGGCGAGTCAGAAGTCAGGCCGGTGACAGGACTTTAGGCTGAAACAAACAGCGCTGAAGAGGGCAGCCACGTCACTTTGGAACAAGAGCAGGCCCCGTTTCCATGCAACAGCAGGCCGGGAGCTTGTTTAAACAGAGGCTGGGGCTGGGGGTGGGGGCTGACGGGGCTTGGCTGCCAGGCCCTGTCGACTAGAGAGAGGGTCCCTGGCTGGCTGCTCCATTTCAGCAGTCAAGGCCCCAGCTTCCTGCTCCGTCCTCCCAACCCCCTTATGGGTGAGTGACAGAGCCACAGCACCTCTACCCTGTCCTTGAGCTTTCCAGAGTCTCCAATCCCAGCCCCTCACGGGAGAATCTAGCCTGAGAAGAAGGCGCAGGAGTGTAGGGGCCTCGGACCATGCATTCACTCAGCAGACATGCATTGAACCCATTTTGCACCAGGCACCCTGCTGGCCAGCTGGAGTTGATGATCCCCAGCTGCTGTTAAAGAATACCCAGGACCCGCAGACCTGCCAGCTGCCCGTCCATCCGCTGCCTTCACCCAGGCAAAGTCTCCTTCCTCATTGTCCCTTGCCCCATATTTCCCTCTAAGATGGCTTTTTTCTTTGAAGGTTTCTCTTGCATTTTAGCCTCATCTGATTTCACCTGTATGAAAATGTTCCCAGTGGGGCTCGGGGAAGGGGGAGTGTCCCCAGGGACTCCGCCAATACCCTTTGGGCTCTGGGATGGGGGGCAGTGAGGGCTGGGAGAAGTGTGGGCCAGCTTTTGGGAGGTGGAGGGCCCGGGGAGGTCTTGGGGACCGGACTGGGCACGTTGGCCCAGGAGAGCTAGACTTGGGGGCCGTGAGGGCTGAGCCCGGCGGGGTGGGGGCAGGCAGAGCTGCTGGCAGCCGCTGAAAGGCGTCCTGGGCCCCCAGGGCCCGCACTCCCATTGTTCGCGGGTTGCAGGGGTGATAGGTCAGCGAGGGTCACGGGAGGGTTGCCCAGCGTCTGGGAACTCCCACCACAGTTGCCATGGTAACCAGAGCCAAATCCCACCCTGTTCACATCCTGTGAGGAGATTGAAAAGGGTTGGGGGGCTCTGCACATTAATGGGCTTTTAACTCACCCCCCTCCAGAGAGACGGGGGTGTCAGGGAGTGGGGCGAGGGGAAAAAGAAGAATGGAAGAGAGTAGTTTTCCTCCCCCATCTGGCTCTCCTCTGCCCAAGCTACTTAGGGGGGTTGGGGGGAGGGCAAGGCTTCAGAGGTGAATTAGCGCACCCCCACCCCACACACATTGTCAACAGTTGTCTTCAGGTCTGGGGCCCATTTCTTCAGTGTTTGGGACCCGCCCTCATGCCCCACATTCTACTCTTTCATCTCTGTTCCCACACCTTCTGGACTCTGCTTTTCTCTCTGTAGAATGAGCCCCTCCCCAGGAGGTGCTGGGGGCCCAGAGGGAGAGATGGGGCTGCATTCCCCAGGGGGAGACTTAGAAACTTCCATCAGGAAGTCCCTGACTCTCCAACATCTGTGGGGCGGGGTTAGACCCTGCCCCTCCCTCCTCTGCGTGGGAACAGAGGGCAGGTGAATGGGGGGCGGGGTAGCAAGGGGACCCGGGTGGAGTTGTCCAGGTGGGGTTGGTGGGGTTGTCAGAGGACTGTGGCCGGGAGAGGGCCTTAACCTCCCCTTCTTGTGCCTCTCCTGGGTTACTAAACCACCCTGTTTTGTGGGTCTGCTTCCTAGTCCAACAATAAAGGAAGTTTCCCAAGGAGGGATCTATGCTAAGAGCGGAGGGAAAGGTAGGGGAGAGGGCCCCGGCCGGGAAAGGGACCCTCAGACCCCCCGCTTTCTTGGGACCTGGAAGGAGCCAGCCCACTCTACCAGCAGGCTTCCCTCTTGATATGGAATTCTGAGACCCCCCTCTTTTTTTCCCCCTCTCTCCCAGAGTTCTTGTCCTTACTAATTAGGAGTTTGGGGACAGAGTGGGGAATTGGGGGAGGGAAGGTGAAAGTTTCCTCTTCTGAGGGTGAAGGATTGAAGTGGGGAGGGCTGCACCCCAGGGCCACCCATCAGTGAGTGAGCTAGGTTTTCTCCTAGGGGAGCTCCTTTATCCTGAGAAGCCCCAGGGAGTCCTTGGGAAGGGAATTGCATGTCCCCCACGGCCTCCACTCTACATCCTACATTTACAGCCCCCTGCAGAAGTGGCTAGTGTGGACGGAGTGGCTGGGTTCATGCTGGCTCTGAACCCAGACCTGGGAATGGACCTGCTTCCAGAGAACTCCACAGATACAGCGACACGCCTGGAAGGAGTCCCTGAGCACAGTGGAGAGCAGCTGAGGAAGGCGACGGCCATCCCACACTCTTTCAGCTCCCTTCCAGACGTCCCAGGCCCTGCCTCTCCCAGCCCAGAGGGGCTGGAGGGGCCACCTAGGGCTGCACCAGGCAGTGGGGAAGGGAGAAAACGAAGGAGCCACTCAGAGGAACAGCCTTCCCTTTTCAGGACTGTTGGGTTCATTTGTTACTTTTCATCTCCTGAGGGGAGAGGCTGGCTCCTTGCAGAGAGCAGGCATCTAGAGACACTTGGCGGGGGAAGGGGTCCTGAAACCAGGCTGTGAGTCTCCCACCCACGTGGGCCTGTCTGTATCTGTGCGTTGCTGGTTTTCATTTTAATGGTTCTAATTTGAGAATGCGCCGGTGTCATTTTTACGAGGTTGGTGTAAAAAAAATTTACAGCCTTTTCCAAAAAGCTTTTTTTTTCCAAGGGAAAAAGGTGTAGAATCACTTCGGGGGTTTTATGGTCTCCTCTCCCCCATCCTCCTTGCCCCCCTTCTCTGTGTAATTTCATTTTTATGTCTCTTTGCTGGAGGACAAAGCCAGGCTGGTAGAGAACCCGGATCTCCCCCAGTCTGTACCCTCAGTGGTCGGGGCCAGTGACCTCTGACCCTTCTCCCTGCACATCTTCCCTTCACTCTCTGGTCCTGGAAGAGTTGCATTTCAGGGGGTGGATGGAGAGATGTTTCCTGCTTAATTCAAATCAACAAGTACTTATTAGGCACCTACTGTTTACTAGCAGTGGGTTACCTATCTACCGTCAGAGATTATATCACTTCTTGCTTAAAATCTTCCAGCAATTTTTCCTCAAGTGTAGATGGAGATAAAAAAAACCATTGTCGCCATGTGATCTGGCTCCTGCTTACCTCTGGGACTTCCTCTCAGGCCACTCGGCTTGGCCACACTGGCGTTTTTAGTCCACGATGCACCAAGCAACCACCCCAGGGCTCTTGCACCAGCTCTTTGTGCCTGTGAATACTCTCCCTGAGAGAGCTGCTGTCTCATCTTGAATGTCTCGTCAGAGACAGCTTCTCTGGCCACACAGCCTAGGTAGCCAGCCAGCCATCGCGCACGTAGTGCTTAGCACCATCTCTTAGCTCGCTCCTGTGTTTTAGTGTCTTCTCAGCCCTTTAGAATGTGAGCCCTGTGAAAGCCAGTGCACTGTGTCTCATGTCTAGGACAGTGCGAGTGCCCTGCGGAGCTTCGTTAAGTCCTTGCTGAATTCTTGATAAATGAGTGGAAAGTCATACTGTGGCCCTGGGGGAGAGGCGATGGGCTTTCCTGGGAGTGCTTTTCAGGTTTGAGATGGGCCAGTGCCCCCAAACACACTCCTGGTGCCCCTTCCCCTAAGTCTGGCCAGCTCCCAGTTGAAATTAATTATCAAGACAATTGAGATCCCAATTTTGCTGAAATTGGCTGATGCAGACAGAAGAAGTTTGGATTTTGTTTATTTCGGCTGCCCCTCACCACAGTCCAGATGAAACCAGAATTGGCTAGGGGGTCCCCCATCCTGCCTGGTCGGCTCCTGGCTCTGCTTCCCTGGGCAGAGCCCCATGGCAGGCCCAGGGGATTCAGGTTCTGCTTCTGCCACTGTGTGACTTTGGGCATGTCACTGCCCCTCTCTGGATCTCCGTTCCCTCACCTATAAAGTGAACTAGATCGGCGCTTTGCAGACTTTGTGCTTGAGATCTATAGTAAGAAAAATATTCTCCTTGGAGCCCAGCACACACATTTCATGACACAATGCTTATGCTTACCTGGTAATCTGATGTTTTCTTTTGTGTGTGTATGTGTGTTTTCCTATGTTTTTTGACCCACTAAATTGGAATCCTGACCCACCATTAGATCATGACTAGCAATTTGGAAAACACTAGACTAGATGCCCTCTAACATGACCAGTGCACCAGGCCCATGGTCTGTGCTTCTGCCTCTCCATTCTCGAAGTTCAGTCCTTCAAGCTTGTTTCTCTGAGCACCACATCCCCACCCTCCCAAACACAAACACCGTAGGGCTGGGCCCCCAGTCAGACCTGGACTCCTCCAGCCTGGAGAAAGGACCGGTAAGCAGCCCTGCGCCTGGCTCCATAGGGAGACACCTGTGCCTGCCCTGAATCTCAGACGGAATGAGGGTGTGCTCTCTTCCTGGAGATGAGAGACCCCACTGTGCCAAGACTTGTTTTTCTTTTCACAGCAGCTCCCTGTTGCCCTCAAAGCTTGAGCTTCATTCACCTCCACCCCAACCGCCCTCCCTGGATGCCATCCGTTATAAGCCATTTGTTCCTAATTGTGGAGATCCTGCTAATGACTCTGCATGGGCGATGGGGGGAGGAGAGTTCAGCTTCATTAGCGAGACTGACTTCTTAGGCTTGAGGGGGAATGAGGGTGGGTGTAGGCTGGAAGAGCGTTTGGTTAGCAAGTTCTTCCAGGTGGCACTGGACAAATGACCAGGAGCTGCCTGGGATGATGAAAGATTAATAGTAATGTCAATAGTTAACGTCCATCCAGAACCCACTTGGCGCCAGGCACTGTGCTGAGTACTCCATGTACATCATCCCATGCGCTCTTCACAACAACCCTGTGAGCTGAGTCCAAGGTTATTCCTATTTTGCACAAGAAGAAACTGAGGCTCAAAGAGGTGAAGTGACTTACCCAAGGCCACTCAGTATACAGTGGAGCTGGGATTTGGATCAAGATCTCTTTGACCAGTGTCCAAGCACAGAATGGACCAGTACTGCCTCCCTTAGAGGAAAACTAGACCTTTCTCCCCAAACCACAGAGCTGGGCATTTGGTTTTCAGGCCAAGAGGTGGAGGGAGGAGGAAAATGAGGTTTAAGAGGCCAAATGGCTCCCAGTTTTCCATTCTGCCCTGAGCCCATTCTCCTGTCCACCGCTCCGCCCAGGCTCTCCATGATGGCTCCTTCCGGTGTGGGATTCTAAATGCCTTTTCCCACCCAGGGCTGTATTTGGGTATCTCTGGCCCCCAGGGAAGGGAACTGAGCCCACCTTCCTCCTGGAGATTCCTTTCCTGGTCTTCTCTGCCCACCTTAACCAGCTTCACCTCCCCTTCCCACCCAGGCAGCTGAAAGCACACAAGATCCCAGGGAAGGCAGATTCACAGGACTCGCGGGACTGTGCCTGAGATCACGAAGGCCCCGAGTGGGGTGAAGGGGGCTGGGCAGTCAGAGGTGTCCACACTCCGCTTCCTAGCCATGGGACCTTGGGCTTCAATTTCCTTGTCTGTAAAATGGAGACAGTGACATCTGCCCTGCCTAGCCCAAGGTTGGGAAGTTCCAACTCAGTGTTTGTAGAAGTGCTTTGAAAACTGCCAGGCGCTATACAAAGGCTGGTTCCTAAACTCTGTGTCAGCCTGTGCCTGCCTCCATGTTCCGCCCAGACTCAAGTGAATTTCACAAGCGTGTCTGCTGTGTGCTGCTGGCTGGGGCGGGGGCGCAGATACCATTGACGACATCTATGTTTTGAAGGAGGCTGTGCCTGGTCAGCATCATCAGAGAAAGCGGGGCTGGATCTGTCAGGGTGGGGGGCTGTCATTTCCCACGTCTCTCAGGTGGGTGGTCCAGTGATGTATCAGGCCCTAGTCCCAGCAGGCAGTGTAGACGCTGTCGCCTGGTACGTCGGAGTGGTGCATATGACTTGAGTGGGGCTTCAGAAAGTCTCAGACCTACCTGATCCCTTAGGTGACCACCCTGGAGGAGGACATCATGGGCTAGAGGGCCTCCCCACACCCCCCTCCTCCTAGAACACCATCTCTGGCTGGGGGTCTGGATGTGTGGACAGTGATGGCAGTGGTGGGGAGTGGAGAATGGAGCAGCATTAAATGAATGTGTCCAGGCCATCTGGGGAGGGGAGCTTGGACCCCAAGCCCACGGTCTGCTCATTACCCCCACCCCTGGGCGTCTACAGGGTGATCTTTAGGTAGTACCGAGTCCCAAATTGGGTCAGGGCTGGGCTGTAAGCAAGTTACGTGAAATGACCTTGTGTTGTCCACCATCGCCTCCCCACCTCCTCCAGGCACAGGGCCTGTACGTGGCAGGCGGCCATGGGTGTGAGTGAAGGGAGGAGAGGATGAATGGTGAAGTCCCTTGAGGGCTTCAGACCCTGTGGGCTCCTCCAGCCTCTCCTGCCACTATCCCCAACACAGCTCGATTTTCTGCCCCTGGGAATGGTTTCAAGGTCACTGGACTCAATGGCCAGTTCACCCCTCTCTGGGGTGAGGGGTCGCCATGCCTGGAACACACTTCGCCCTCTTTGTCCACCTGGTGAACTTGTCCTTCAGGCCTCATCAGTGCTGACCCCTCCTCTGGGCCCTGGTGCCCAACGCCCACCTCCACTTCAGTCTCTGGTACCTGCTGTCATTCACAGCACCCAAGCCGCGAGCCCCAGGGCAGGGCCACAGTCTGTTGCTGTGTATCCCCAGCACCGCGCATGATCCTGGCACCCAGCGGGCGCTCAGTAAACAGGAAGGAAGGAGTGAGTGGGAGAAGAGTGGGGAGTCAGAGGAGGGGGCAGCCTTGGCCAGGCGAGGGTCTCACCTGGCTCCTCTCAAGTGGCCTGAAGTCGAGGCCCTGGCTGAGGCCTGAGGAAAGGCCCAGGGTAGGAGGAGGGGCCTGTCACAGGGACGTGTCACAGGAATGAGGTTGCAAGGCTGTGTCGTTTTTTCCTGTAAATCTTGTAATTTCATGCTCCAGGGGACCACAGAGTAAGAGAGTCAGTGGGGAGTGAATCCAACTCCCCAGGCCACCCCACCCAGGAGGCTGCGTGGGGCTCCCCCAACTTCCCCCAGAAACCCCTCTTCTGTTGTTCCCCTCTCCCCTCCAGGCATCTCGGGGGCTTCAACTCCCCATCCTGACCTTTCCCCTTTGGGTTGCCTGGGCTGGCCAGCTCCTCCAAGCCATCTTCTTCCCCCATCTTGCCCTCTGACCTCTGACCCCTCCACTTCTTTATCCTACCTCTGCCTTTGGAGAATGAAGAGCATTTGTTCAACTCCTGTCTTTAGACATGGAGGGGTCACTAGAAGCAAGGTAGACAGGCAGGGGCTCCTTCCTGAGGACCACCTGGCCACCTCCCTTCCTCTCCTCGCCCCCTCCCCACTTTCCACAGCCTCTCAGAGCATTTTGACTCAGAAAGGTCAGACTTCTACTTTCTGAAGTGAATCTTGAAGAGAAGAAACCCCAGGCCACCTCTCCGGGTGTGAGGTTCAGGGGAAGAAAGAGGGGTCGGGGATGCCTGGATCCGGGCGGCTGGTGAGAGCTCGCTGGTCTGAACTCCAGGTCTGCGGGGGTCACATTCCCATAGACACACCAGTGTGTGTTTAGGTGCCGTCCTAAGGTAAACGAGATGCCAGGCTCCAGAGAGGCTCAGCTGTTCGATGACAACGAACGGGCTGCGAAGG